GACCCGCCCCGCGCGCGCGCCTGTTTTTCCCGCCGGTCCTGGGCTTTGCGCGGGTCTACCTGAGGGCCCGCGGAGGCTGGCCTGTGGCGGCCCCGCCTTTCGCGAACGCAGAGCACCCAGTAGACCAGCGGGTGACCTAACCCAGAGCCACCCCGGCGGATTGTGGAGATGGGACCAGGACAGCAGCCCCGGGGCTGTAGCTGGAACTTTAAGGAACTTTACCGGCCTTCGAGTTTGGCCAGTCTGGCGCTCTTAAGTGACCCCGTCCGTATTTCACGGGGGTCATGGGAGATGGCTTCCTCAGAGATGTGGCCTTTTACAGACGTGGGAACTGACGCTTGAGCATGACTGGTGACGTACAGTCGCTCGTCTGGGAGCTGGAGAAGGGGGCCAGACTCCCAACTTTGGACAGAATCTTGGGGGTGAGGGCCACTGCCAGCAGCTGTGCATTGCCCATGCCATGTCGACCGGTAACCCCAACGCCAGCCTACCTGTACTTGGGAAGCTAGGGAAAGGCGAGTAAGCTGAATGCAAAGTAAACTGGGTTCAGACAGCTCAAGGGATAATGTTTTTATTATGGTTGGATTTTGCCAAACTGGAATCCTTTCAAGACTATCATCTGACTTTGCAGTTTACTCTATAAAGTTATGGGACCACTTCAGTTTCTTCCTTAGGACAAGCCCACGATATAGGTATCATCTGATTTTTTTTAGCTGGGTGGACAGGGGCCATTTCTGTCTTGTTCATTCCTCTCCACCCCACTCTGAGACAGACAAACCTTTTTGAGTGAATGAATCAAGTTTTAAAGATGGGGAGTCTAACATGGATATGGTCACTGTAATGACAGAAGTGAGAACCTTCTGACATAGAAGCAAGTCTTGCTATAAGACTCTCAAAATCATAGTTTTAAAAAAAAGATTTATTTTTGCATTCCTACAAGAACTGGGTGAGGTGCAGAGGCAGGGGGTGAAAGGATTCCCCAGAGACAGAATGGGATCAACAGGCAGAGAGACTGAAATATACTGCTGAGGGGCGCAGCAGGCAAGAGGTCTCCTGCACCATGTGGGTCACCTCCCTGGCCCTCGATTGAACTCATGGGATCGAATTCATACTGCAGTGGCTGCAGAAAGCTTCATAGTTTGGCACTTTTAACACCTTGCACCAATAGGAAAGCCCCAAATCATAGATTGTTAAAACTGAAAAAAGGGCCTTCTGAGACTATGGAGTCTATCCCCTGCACTTCACAGTGGAGATGTGCTCCGGGACCTTCACAAAAACACACCTCCTAGGCTTCAGTAAGTAATCACCTTGTTTTCTTCTCTCCAAGAAGCTGGGAGTAGGTTCTTCTATGCATTACAGATCAGGAGACAAAATGGAATGGTAATTATGATTCAGAAATTGCTCATAATTAGATCTACAGCCAAGCACTCTAATTCAGATTAATGAGACTGTGTTGCTGATTCCCAACAGCCCATAATTCAGGGAAGGTTCAAGAGGTGCTAATTAGATCAATGTTTTTTTTTTAGTTATTTGATAAGTTACTGAATGGCACTGTGTTCCAAGCTCTGAGCTAGGCACTATGGCTGGCAATCACTATGTGTTTTGAATTAGTTGGTAAGAGGAAGAGTTCTCTGGAGCCCAGATTAGAACCCCGTTTTTGCTACTTCCTTGCTGTGTTACCCTAGGCAAATTACCCACTGGCCTCTCTACTTGTGGGATTTCTGATCTATTGAAGAGAAAAGTGCACATACCTAAGTCAAATTAATATGAGCTAGAGGGGTGTAATAGATGGTGTGTGAGATCAGTGGTGGGTCTGAACGCACTCTGGATAAATGAGGAGGGAACAATGCAGGAGGTGGCCTGTGTGCCATTGAAAAAGAAATAGCGTTTTAGAAATTCAGGGTAGAAGAAAGACATTAAGAGAAGGAACAGCAGGAGCCAAGGCACAAAGGAAGGAGCATGACCTGTCCAGTGCGGCTGCAGTACACAGGGTCAGGGAGTTCAGGCTAGAGGCTGGCTGGGACCAGACTGAGGAGGCCTCGGATTCTGGCATGGAGTTTGGATGCTACACCACAGCACTAAAAGCCTTTGAGGGACTTTTGCCAGATCATTTTGCAACTGCGGGAGAATGTAGTGACTCAGAGAAAACGCCATAGAGTTCAGCTGGGAGCCAGGTTTCCTGAGTGGGAGTGCTTCCTGGCTTGGGAAAGGCTGGTGCATCCAGAGTGCCTCACCTCAGCCTGGTCTGAGTCTCAGTCCAAGGCATGTGACTAAGATTCCCCTCTAGTGGCTGAGGTTGGTACTTCCTGGGATATTGGACGGGATTTCTAGCTTATTTCATAGATTCATTTTCAGCCAACATGGAACCTTTATTCTGTGCCAGACACAGAATATGTACATTTCCTCCCAGCAGTCCTGAAGCAGTCCTCTGAAGCAGGTACTATGAACACTTAACAGGAAAAATACTAAAGCTTATTGAACCATGGTTTGGAGCTGGCTCTAGGCATGGCTCTGTTAGGTATTTCATTACTTCCCAGCTCACTGCATTGTTAGAATTTTTCTTTTGTCTTCTATTTGGCTTAATTCTGTCTTTTGGATTTCCTGGGACTGCATCTTAAGCCAGATATTATCTGTGACATTAAGGTCCTAAGAGGGACTGGTAATTGGCCTAGGGGAACACAGTGGGTGATATATTTGAAGAGCACATTAAGTGAACAGGTCAGTTGTGGTGAACTCAGCCAGCCAGCAAAAACCTGTAAGGCAATAAATGGGTAGGAATGGGGATCAGAACACTTCATAATTTATTAGGATTTAATTACTGGGGCCCTTCCTGGTGGTGCAGTGGTTTGAAGCACAGCACTATGAAGCTGGCCCCAGCCACTGCAGCATGAGTTTGATGCCCAGCCAGGGAGGCGACCCACACTGTGCAGCAGACCTCTCCTGACCTGCCCACTGCTCCCCTCAGCAGTATATTTCAGTCAGTGCCTATTTTGCTCCCCACTGTCTTTGGTGAATCCTCTCACCGCCCCTGTACCTTTGGCCAGTACCCCAGTTCTATATGCATAAATAAATAAAATAAATCTTTAAAAAAATTTAATTACTGACCATTTTTAAAGACCAAAAAACCTCTCATCGTTTTTTTGTGACGCTCCTTCATGTATTAGAGAACAAACCTCTCTCCTCTGGTGCGTTGTTCAGCTGATTCCTTCTCTAAAGTCTTAGTGATCTGCTCTTCAGGCCTCCCCCTGCCACCATCCTTCTTTCACCAAAGTATCTCCCTTAGTTACACTGTCATATTACTGTAGTGTCGATCTCCCCCTTGACATAAATTTCTGTTCTTAACTCTCACCATTCTCCCTGTTGCCAGTTCCACAATTTCCGTGTTAGCTGGACAGCTTCCACTGGAGGCTCGCCCATAGAGGAAATCCTGCATGTCCAGTGAAACTTGTCCCTTTTACTCCCACATTCTTTCCCAGGCTCCATTTGCTTTGGTCCAGCCACCACGCTCTGAATTGAACCCTGTTATTTTCTCACTTTTCCACTTCCCTATACCTAGAGACTCTTTGTCATTTTATTATCATAGACATTCCCCAAGCCACCCCCTCTAACATTGATCAAAACCTCATTTCACATTTTTTTTACTTCAAAATAATTTCAGAACTTGCAAAAATAGTTCAAAAAATTTCTGTGTACCTTTTATCAACAATCCCTATATGT